TGTTAAACTTCCTCATGCTTTTTGTCACCCTCCGATTAACCTTATTGGATTCCTCTGAGAATCTGATCACATTGAAATCCCCACCCATGCACCAGGGCCCATCCCACAACCCTCTAACATCAGCCAATTCCTCCCACAACTCCTTTCTCTCTCTGTAGTCATTCGGTCCGTATACATTTGTGAGCACCCACAGTCACAAGGAATTGCAAAGATGAGCAAGATTGATTTTGATCCCAAAAGGTAGGTGTTTGTGAGGCATTACATACTTTAATATTTTATTTTGAGATATATTGTAAATAGGAATTCTTGTAAAGGAGGATTTCCAAGCCTCCTGTGCACTATTTTTTGTAAAATTTTCAAACCATGATATACAACAAATTTTCGAACACAACCAGCTGGGTTATGTGTCTTTCAAACATAAGGTACTTTTCTCTGGGTTTTTTTTTTTTTTTTTGTGGGGGGGGGGTGTGGAAAACTAAAACTAAAACTAAACTATACAACACAAAAAGGTTAAAATTGAGCCTCAAGATCAATGAAGCTGAGAATTTAATGCCCCTAAATTCCAGCACAATAATATGAAAAGATAGCAATTTAAAAATTCAATCCAAAATAATTCAACTGAACTGATTCTTGTAAAACCTTTTGTCATTCTTAAATTTATTGATACAAAACAATCAATATTGAAGAAAAAGGAATTTCCCGTTATTGAGTTAAAATTAAAATAGAAGAAAATTAGCAATATAATAAAGCAAAACAGAATGTCAATCTTTCTAAGTAGTCAGAGTTGATATTTGGATTCTTGTTTCCGATTGTACTAGTGGGTTACAAAAGAAACTATAACATCAGAAAAAAGAAAAATGTATCAAGATCAAAGAGATTTTTATCAATGAAGAGCTAATAAGAATACATTAATCTAGCTTCCAATAAACTTGAAGCCAGATCAAGCTTACCTTGGACATGGGTCTGTATAGCTTACTTTTTTGGTTTTAATGAATATTATACTTTACCTTTTTCAAAAGAAAAGGAGCTTACAATGGAAAGCTAACAACAACACAACATGAATCAACAATGCAATAGTAAAACCATAATATTAGACAAACACCACTTTTAAGAACTCTGCTCTCCTCACCCCTTTAAGATTAATTTGGGTACATTAAAATAATGGTTCTTCAAAAACAAAAAACCCTCTTGAAGGGGGTAAAAAATGAGCCATCAAAACTGGAACCTAGAAAGTGTAAACAACTAGAGAAACTTTCCAGACAAAAAATATAGTGGGGAAAAATACCCATTTAAAAGGATCCTTTATGCAACTTCTTGATGAATTATAAACTAAAAGAATGAAAATTAGACAGAAATTCAAATGATGTCTAGCATGATGCATGCATGCATGCAATTGAAAATAAAACCACTACCACAAATACGCATCGGAAGTACTTAGGCATGAATTTGCTAATGACAGTGACGGCGGAATTGGTACATAACCGAAACTTAGCTTCTTTGTGAAAGGAAAGACAAAAACATAGAGATGGTAGATGAAAGGCAGCAGCCCAACAAGAGGCATTTACGGCACTCTTTGCTTTTCAGGAAATGGGTAAGCTAGATTCACACCAATAATTGGTATAGGAAAATATTGTTGTCTACAAGCAGTAAGCACCAGCCATAAAATTTCCCAGCTAATGGTCCTAAATATATTGTAAACAATACTCACTTCCTGGTCCATTTGCAAGTTGTATTCCTCGAGGGTCCGGTCCAAAACAGTCAACCTTGAATATTTCCGCTTATTGAAGTAATCCCAAATGGTAATCTGTGGACGAATAAAGACAAGTAATTTTTTATTAAGTGTAATAATAGGCCCAAATGGAGAACCTCAAGCAAAATATTCCTGATGCATACCTTCTCTTGTTCAAGCTTGTGAATTGCACAGACCTTGTCATAAAGCTCATGTATAGAAGCCTGAAGATAAGCTCATCAAGTTATGTAAGATGGCATAACATTCTTTGGAAGTTAGTATTTATGAGAAGAAAAAGAAATTTACACAAGCATCTGTCTAACAAATAATGGTAGTAAAAAACCTATTCCACTAAAAAGTATTTTACAGAACTCACAAATAAGTCTGATCAAATAGCATCATCTAAACCACTATTAGCACCAAATTTTGGACAGATAAAGAATATTGCTCCCTTGGGCAAACAAGTACTAACCATTGAAAATGATCCACATGAAAAGATCAAGGTTCAAATCATTCTAGTTGCACAAATTCTTTAATCTTTTTTATGCTGAAAAACTTCTCTAGAAACCAAGGATAAGGTTTCTATGAATGTATATAAAGAAAAGCAAGTGGTATTAGTTAGATTTTGATGTTTTTTGTTTTTAAAGGCAAATGCAATTTCTATAAAACAGTTGCAAGGAAGCTATGATGTATGGAGCAGAGTGTTGGGAAGTCAAGAAACTGTCCAGAAAACGAATGTGGCAGAATGTGTAGATGAGTGGAGTAACTAGAAAGAATAGGATCAGAAATGAAGTTAATGAAGTTATTCATAGGAACTTGAGAGTAGCTCCAATAGGTGATAAAATGAGAGAAAGTAGACTAATGTGCATAGAAGACCATCAACAACACCCGTAAGAAGTGATTTGTTACGAGTTGAAGGGGTAGACCGAAAAGGACATAGATAGAAGTAGTAAGAAATGATTCTTTTTTTAAAAAAGGTAATTATTATATTCAAAAAGGGCAAAAAAAGGCCATCTTGTGCTGGCCTGGACCACAAAGTAGTCCCGCTTCCAAGCCGGGACCTTGCTCGGGAACTTATGCAGTAGCTTAAAGCCTGGGCGAGGAGATAAGTAGTAGACCTACCCGTGCTCAGGGGGAGCGCTAGAGGCGCTCTTTTTTATCAGCAGTATGGAGCAGAGTATGTCCGCGTCCAAAGAGAACCGCTTTTCATG